GCAGTTTTGGTCTGAGCAGTGGTTGGTGCTTCTTCAAGAGACAATGTATCTTGGCTTCTTATGTGGCAAAAAGTCGATTATAGTCACCCCACCATGCTACTGCTGATAGGAATTTCTTTATCAGTATGGAAATACTGTTTATGCCTGTCCCAAATACACCAAAGCTGGTAAATATGTGTGCTGCAAACAACATTGTTGGCAAAGAATTTCCCACCGGTAGCAATAGGTGAAGTCTCTGTCACTCAAGCATCAGGAAGCTTTGGGAAACCAAACAGGTGTTCAGGCTAGAGGGCCTGAAACAGCAGCTCAGCCAGAGGCCTCAGAGATAACGCTAGAGGAAACAATGCTGTGGTTCCTGTATCACTGCAGTCAGTGCTTGTGGAAAATGTTGCCTCTGTTGCTGAGTCACTAAATTGTTCCATGTGCTGGCTTCTGGCTAAGTAAACACAATGGTTCAGCAGTGGGAGTAATGTCTTGCGTCAGGCAATTTGATAATAACACCATTGAAGAAAAGAGGATAGTTCCTTTCCCTTCATCTTGCTTCCTTTCACCTTTGTCTCTTGAGAGCAGGATGTCTCTCCTCCTTCCCAAGAAGATGCGGGGGGAGAGGGAGAGACGAAGGGAAAGCGTTTTGGAATGCAGATGCCTGTTGACTTGCTGGGCTTAAGAGGATGCAGCATTAACATCAGAGGTCACTGTACCTGCAGTAACTACAAAAGTGGCCAATTGCAGTGGCTTGACAGCGCTTCCTGTAGCTCTTAACTCATGAAGATTCAGTTTCAGGGTGTTGTATTTCTAATTGTCACAAGCAGCTGTGACATGGCATGTTCTTCCCTTACTGTAATGCTTTTTCCCCTTTTTCTTTTTTCTTTTTTTGTTTGGTTGTTTCATTTGTTGTTTATTAAACAAGCCTTAAGTAACACTTTTGTCTTGGGAGGGTGAGGAAATGCTCTCTGGATAGACATGGTACCCACGTGTAGTGGATGCAGGGATATTGCAGGATAAACTGCACCTTATTATTCATTTGCATCCAAATTTACTCTCATATGCTAATAAGTGTCTGTTATTTCTAATGTATTTTCCACAACAGTAGCTTCAGAGGGAAAAAGTCAATTCTAAAAATACCTTTCCACAGGGTTAAGAGAAGTGGGAAAAGCATGGGAAATAGTCCCAGTGAGCAATTCTTCTACCCTTTCCATGAGGCAAGGGAAAACAACCCCATCCTGTAGAACTTCTCTTATATACATCCTTGGGATTGTGTCACAATGGAGGAGAAATGAATGAAGTGACTCCTTCCTCTGAAAGTCTGATATCAGATCATTGCTTTACTCTGACTTAAGAAATCAGTGATCTATCTATATACTGAACATAGATTAGAACAAAGCCCGTTCTTTTAGGGGCTATTTTTCCATGTATCCTAATTTGCTTTTCAGTGCTTCTCAAATGCTCTGTTGTGTGAACTCGAAAACAACCACATATCCTAAGGAGCCCCAAGGGCTGCTTAATAAAACATCACAAGTCTGTTAAAAGGGGCATTGTCACTTTCTAAAAACTGGTTGGATTTTTTTTTAAACCCTATGCTGATTCTTGATTCAACTCTTGTCAGCTAATTTATTCTGGACCATTTAGAAAGAGCAAAAGCAGTTAATGAAAGGAGAAGAGCAAATTTTCCTATTAGGTCTTAATGTGAGGTACAGTCTTGATCTCTAATTATGTGTTGTCTGAAGCAGCGAAGTCTTAAGTGGTAGCTTGTCAAAAACAGTATCTCACTACTTATTAGTCTCCTTTCCCATAGAGCAAGAGTTCCTGCTGGTTGTGCTATCATTGTTCTCTTTGTTTAACCACTACGTGTGTAGCAGAAATGCTCGCCACTTATCACAAAAGGTAGGGGAGCCAAACCAGATGGTCTCCTGCTGAGAGGGGGGGGATGTTTTTGGTACGTCTTGTACCAGCACGTGCCACAATAACAGCGGTGTCCTTAGGGTTTCATCACAGAATTTGTCTAATTAGGCAGGAGTGCTGTAGGATGCTAGATCTGTTTCATGTAGGGTGAAGATATCTGCACTATCTTCAGTCCTTGAGGTTAACCTTGCAAGAGTAACATTACCTGAGAATATGGAAAAGCCTGGTTTATGTAAAGTTAACTGCTGCCAGTACTTCAACTGGCTTGGGGTAGAGAACATCAGCTAGGTCAGGAGTGTAACATGTTTAGAAGGAAGACACAGCAAATAGCAGCTTCTCTTGAGCTACTTGCTAAAGCTTCAACAGCTAGGTAGTGTCTGGTTAGGAAATCTTATTTTTGAGTAGCAATTTCATAGTGCAGAAGAAAATCTGGAAAATGAAGTGGGTCTGAACCTTAATGTCAATTAGCTGGTAGGTACAGGTTTGTTGGACAGCTGGCAGACAGAAAAACTGAGTTGTTCCAGTATCAGGTCTGTTACTGCAGCCCTGAACACAAAAGCTGTGTTGCTGATGTGCTTGAGGTGCTGGAGACTTTCCACCAAAGCAATAAGGGAAATTGGAGGATGCTGCTTTTTAAGGTTGTCATTGGTGGGTTTTATGTCTTGCTAATACTGAGATCATTAAACAGGCTGCCATCCTGTCTCTTTAGGAGAATATTTCTGCTAATTGACAATATATTTTTACCTACATAGAACATGTAGGCAGGTAAAATTATATTTTTTGACAGTTGTCAAATTGCTCTGCTAGGTGATAAAGACAGTTAAAAACCACAAGATTTTTGTCATAGATGGAACTGAAGGATCTATTCCCAGGAATGTTCAGTAAAAAATAGAAAGAAAGCCACAAAACCTGCTGTGAATGGAATAAAACTTCAGTTGATTTTAGTTGTCCTATAAGAATAGAATCTGCTACAAACACCTTTCTGTTAGTGTTTTTAACATGAATGTAATTTGGGACTCTCTGTCCATTTGGTAAATTTTATAATGCTCTGCATTATTCTCTATATTGTAAACTCTTACATAGTTTCTGTTGTCATTACAAGACTGTAGTGATTTCTATTCAAGATTCACATAGTTCACCATCCAGTTGACAGCATGAGATACCAGAATTTTGTTGAATAGAGCACTGCCAGTGATTCTGCTCTACTGTTTTTAAGCCAATCTCAGCTGGCATTTAGAGCAGTGTTAACCTGGAGATCAGTTGTAATGTCAGGTTGTGCTTGTGGGCAGTAAGAATAATTCTTCCCTTCTCTCCTCTGTTAAATTCTTCTTGTGTTCTTCCACGCAACATGCCTTCAGACCTCTTACCACCACCTTTAGTGCTGCCTCCTAAATCTATCCTCTTCCCTACCTATTCCAGGGGTAGCTGTGCCTGTTGATCTGTGGCTCTGAAGAATCTCCATTCATGTGGAATTTAGGTCCTATCTCCTTTCTACCTGCAAGTGCTGCCTCTGCTGGCAATGGTGTGTGTCCTGTGATTTAGGATTTCTTCACAGTAAGAAACTCAATGGAGTGATCTTTCAGCTGCTTTACATCTGGCACAGGAATGTGTAGCACTCACTGAAATTTTAAGTCCCTCTTATCAGTTTATGATCTCATCAACCTAAGCATTACCAGTGCTTAATTCTGCTCTGGGGTCTGTATATTCGACCCTGTGCTCCATGTGCAAATGAAATAACTGGATTCCCAATTATGGCATGGTGTGTTAGTAATTTTAGGTTTCATATGTGCCCCTCTTGTATTGAGAGAAAAATCTTCCGGGACTTCTAAGGATCAACGATGTTAAGGGAATATTTGTGGATTTTTATATTCTGGTAGGAGCACTAACCTCTTTAGAGTTAAAGGAAAAAAGCTCAGAAAATATGTCCACATGTCAAGTTAACTTTATGAAGTGGTTTTTCTCTTCCCTACATTCCCAGTGCCAGAATATATCTCACGAGGTTGAGTGTTCTTGGTAGCCTGCTTGTTGTACCACTGCACTGTTCTTCTGCAAGAACATTAGTTGCCTGCAGCATATCATCAAGGCAATGATGGTGGGGTCAGAGACCATTTTTAACACTTTCGTTGTCCTAAAGTTCTAATTGTTTTGCTCAGTCTTTCCCCTTTACCTCTTAGCTTTCCATTTTCAATAAAAAATGGAACTTTTTTCCCAGTTAAAAATAATAAATGCCTTTCAGAATAATGGTGTGTGTCACCTGCCCTTGCAAGGAAAATTGATGAACAGATATTCAGAGCACCTTGACCAGCCAAGCAAATAGCTTATTCTCTGACTGCAGAACTTGGCTCTATGAGTTTTATGCCAATGCCCTGTCTTCCCTAGTTTGCTGGTGTTGGGATCTAAATGGGTTGAGAGTGCTGTTTTTACAAGGCATTTTTCTAGGCAATTCAAGAAAGAACTTGACCTTCTTGAGAGTGAGAGAGTGCAATTCACATGTTGGATTTTTTCTTTTTCTTAAAAGTAACTTGACCTTATGGTATGAATAAAACCACCTTTTTCAGGAATTTGAGAACAAACATAATGGTCCAGTGTTGTGGAGTTTTTTTTCTTATTAAAATAAACCCAGAGAATAAAAGTAAATTTTTCCTTGTGTGTTTTAGTTACTTAGCTTTTGTATGTTTAACATAGCAATCTAACCAGGAGTAGCTGTCTGTGGTTTGTTTGTTTCCCAGTTTTCAGTAATAGTAAACTCATAATTGGCAATTCTGACTTGTATTTCTGCCTTGCATTGTCTTGTTGTGCAATAACTTATGTATTGATCTTCTGTCCCATTTTCTTACCTGATTAGAATGACACTGATAATTGGATCTGTGTTGCAGAAAGAGTGAGATTTTTTTGCTATTTTCTTGGGGGGGTGAGAGGGGAAAGAAAATGCTTTTATGTGAGTTGAGTATAAGCAGTTACTGAATAACCTGATAGTCCGAAAGCCATTCTTTGGTGACTTCCAAACCATTTCTAGATTAAGCCTTTCTCAAATCCGATTCTGACGGTAATTTCAAAATCACCCAGACATATTTGTTTTGACTTTCAGGTAGTTTGAAATAACTATACCAAGCTGTTTCATGGTTCCAAACTACAATTATTCAGGAAGTTGATTCTGCAGCTGCTCATGAATGCAGTCTGAAGGCCTGCAGTGTGCCGGTGAGCATCGGTCAGGACCCGAGGGCATCCAGCAACCAGGAAAATGACTGGCTTCCTCAAGGAACAAACAAAAGAGAAACCTTTATTTCTTGTGTAGCTGGAAGGCAAAGCAATACAATCTTGCCACCCAGTTAATTTAAAGAAGCATTTTTCAAAATACCTCTTGACTGTGTGGATCTTGCAACTCTGACACAAACGTGCCTTTGGACTTGTGGAAATAAATCATTGGAAGAACGGATTGGGCAAAGTGGTTGTTGAAGGAGTGACTGTTGGAGAACCATGACGAAGCACCTGGAGATCATCAATTTGTCATTTTTGTTGGAACATGAAAGGGAAACAATACTGGGAGTACTGAAGAGAGATGAATATTTGAAAAAAGTTGAAGATAAAAGAATAAGGTAACTCTTTTTGTCATTGCTTTTAAAAATATGGTCAGTAGATACTTTTGTTGTACCCAGTGAAGGTTTTCTTGATGCCTCAGGAGAAGGATGAGTGTTGGGAGGAGACACAGTTAATTAGAAGTCCAAGTAAAGTGTGCTAAAAAGAATATTTCTTGCTAGTGTGGCTCTCTGTAAACCAAAATGATGTCCAACACTTCAAAGCAAAAGTGTAAGAAAGATAACCAGTGCAAAATACGCAGTAGTGGTTTATAAATTTCAGATTCTGTAGATTTAGTTTGCTGAATTTCCCCTGTGACTGGAAGGCTTTAGTAAGCTCTTGAACTTTCCTCCTCTGAGAGGTGCTGTACATGTGTGCCTTCTGAGATGAGGAAGTTTGGAAGGTGTTAGAGGGAGAGAAAGTTGGCATCTGTCTCTTCAGGACTGCATAAAGCCTGGGGAAAATGTGAGATGATGACCTTTTTTTATTGTTGTAGTACATAGAGAATAGGGAGGAGGAGGGGCGTTTGATTTTTCAAATGGCTTAGATTTACTAATAAATAAATAAAACTGGTAATCTCGGGTGGGGATCTCAAAAGTAGAGCTCAAAAGCTGGGAGAAGTAGAATCTCGGGGTATTAACAGAGTCCGTGAGTTCTTTTCTGAGGAGAAAAAATAAAAATCATAGTTCAGAGAACTGTGTGTGGAGACAGGTTGAGATTCAGCTATTTTAACTGATTCAAATTGAGTTAATTCAGCTAAGTATCAGTTCTGTGAAAGTTCCTCTGCTTTTCCAGGATATTCTTGCTGCTTCCTCTCACTTTTCCACACTGCCCTTTTAAACTTTTATGCAGTGCTTGTTCTTAGAATTAGGCTTAGTGTGGATGGATGCTGTTGGCAAGGCTGCTGAGTGTAATGGATGACAAAGGGAAGATTTCCAGCCTTTGCTGGTTTCTTGCCATGTATTCCAATCCAGACCTCATTGTTTTTCCCTTTGATTTTCTAAAAAGCATTTTAGACACAATGCATTGCACAGATGTACGTTCAGCACCTGCTGAGGCTTCTGTTGTGTAAAACTATTACTTGGAAATCTATGCAGAGTTAACCACTGTGTTTGGAAGTTTTTCTCTGTCAAGAGAACCAAGTCTAAGTGCAATGCCCCTGTTGGTGTGCAGCCCATTTGCCTGGGGTAACATAGTGGCTTCTCTGGGTGGGCTAAAACTGGTTTCTTCTGCTGCCGTCAGATTGGAAGGAAAAGTGTTTCTTTGTGGTGGTGTGGGCAAATTAATCATTTTATCTACTTAATGATTTGTCAGATGAAGAAGAAAACAGATGGAGCACTGTTTGTTCTAGGCATTGTTCTCTATTTAGTAATAAGATAAAAATTTCAAATTAAGTATTTCAGTTTTCTAAGGTGGTGACCTCGGACATGTGTGATGAGCCACTGGTCATCTGTCAAAGGCATCAGTATGAAGTGCATCAGATCACTGGCTTCCTAAAGCCTCAGAAAGCTTTCTTTTCTACTACTGTCATTTTCCAGTCTCAAGTGAAAAGTTGAAACTCCTGAGGTTTTGTGGGTTTTTTTTTGTTTTGTTTTTTGGGTTTTTTTGGGGTTTTTTTGTGTTTTGTTTTATTTGCTTAGTTTGGGGATTTTTATTGCTGTTGTTTTGTTTTGCTTTAATATGATGTCTTAAACCCTCAAACTTTATGGGGTTTTTTTGATACTGCTGGAAGTCACTCTGCCAAACATACTGAGTCTGAAAACCCAAGGCATCTTTGGAAGATACAGTTCAGTAAAGCCACAGGTGGTATTGGCTTATCAGTGTTTTGGTACAAATGGAAAGAACACCCCAAGAAAATGCTGAAAACTGAGTTAATCTGAAATGTGCTAATTAGGATAACTAATGATGCAATGTGATGCTTATGTATATTTCTAGCACCTGTAAATGAACCAATTGGCTTCAGATTCATTGTCACTAGACAGTATTGTGCCTGATAACAGTGGAACGTAGTCTATAAAGGACTTCCAAAATGTAAAAACTATAAAGAATTGGATGGCTATCTGCTTCCTAGGAGACTTATTAATTTTTCTTTCTCAATACAGCTTGGCAAGGATATCTAATTGTGCCTTTTAACTATACTTCAGAGGAACATTTGTTGTCTTTGGAATTCCATTTGGCACAATCTGTTATATATTTTATTGAAGTACTTTGCAAAAGAGCAAAGTGTTTATTTTTTCAAGGCATTTTTCACTCTTGAAAGATGTTTACTTGCATATTGTACTGAAGAATTTTTATTTGTCTGCTCCATTCTTTCTGAATCCATCTTGATAATTATTTCTTTCCATTCCTGTTAGTCTTCAAAAGCCACTGTAACTTGAGAGAACCTTGCTATTCAACATGAAAGCAATGATAAATGTAGGAGGATGTCCTAATAATTAAATTGCTAAGGGTTATTTTCACTATCACTGCTCATACTTGTGTTCTGGAGTGCAGGTGGCTGTTCTTGTATTTTTATTTGATGTGCAAGTATTTTACCCACATGTGAGAAAAACACAGAAGGCAGCAATTTCCTTTTCTGGGGTCTAGTTTTGATAATACAAATAATCTATCTCTAATGAAGATTAATTTTCTTAACTCTGTTTGCATCTTGCATGACTAGAAGTTTTCTTTGAATATTGATTTAAAACTTTTAGTAGATTATTGTGCAAATCACCTACAGTGTTCTAAACATTATGATGCTTTTGATATTAGTTAAATTATCATCATGATTTTTTTCAAATGCTAAGATTATTTGACTAAAATCATTAAACACAGCTACAACAGCTAAAAATAGAGAACTTGACCACACTGTAAAAAAGTTTCTTTTAACATGTGAGTCAAGACATGCTGAACTGAATGTGTTAAACTGAAACTTGTATCTTTGTCCTTATCTCCCCATCCTTTTACTGTGTTGAAACGGTTTTGTTCTTTTAAGACCTTTTTTATGAAAACAAATATCCCATTTAATGTGTAGTGTGACAGGTGGTGAAGTCAATATGAAATGGAAAGGATGTATCTGTGGAAAGGGGGGTGCACCATGGAATAGGTGTGTTTCATTGAACTGCTGGTGCTTTGTTTCTGTTCCAACAGCAGCCCCACTGCCTCCTCCCCAGCTGTGGTGGTACACAGGGAACTGGGTCTGATGGTCATGGCATTTTGTATTTGGAGCTATTTGACGTCTTCATGTCAATATTATTCTGCTGCCACAGAGTGCCACACGTGGCACACTGCTAGAGTGCATTGCTTTCTTACCTGAACTGTTTTAAAATACAAAGTTTCTTTTCATTCTTTATGGAGCAAAGCTATGAATGCCATGCTTTTGGGGGTGGGGGGGTGTAAAAGTGTAATAATTGCTGCACTGAGAAAACAAAGAAGGAACATGCCAATTTCTTCCAAGGAAAAGCCTTTAATGGGTTATTATTGAATCATTTTGGTTGCCAGAAGAATTGCACCAGCTACAGATCTATATTGACAAGCAAAGTTAGCAGCCTTGTCTTTTTCATTTAACCAAAATGGCACCTCCTTATCAGTCCAAAGAGATCCATGGAAGCAATTTAGAATATTAACTTCAGTGTAATGCAGAAAAAACTGCTAGCGTGGACACCACCATGTGGTAGCTACAGCCAAGTACTTTACAGGGGGGGAAGAAAAAGAAGTTTGAGGAATGGGAATGGGTATTGACATCTGCTGACTGTACGTTTGGATCTGTTTATAAGCACAAAATGGTTGCAAGCTAGCATATATAGCATGGTGCATGGTCTGTGTTTTTGTAAAACTGTCTATAAATATTCGAAGGAGAGAGCCCCTGTGTTAAAGCATATTCTCGTCTGTACCCCTATGGGAAGTAACAAAGTTGCTGCCTGGGGGCTCAGTCATTTGGAAAGTGAATTTAACGGTTTAGCACATTGTTATTCTTTGAAGTAAAAAGTTCTCCATCAAAAGTAGTTACTATTGCCAGTTACTCTAAGGGTTACCTTGCTTGTTTTGGTGTCCTGTGTTCTCTGAGAATGACGATCCTCCGTTGCTGAAAGAATTTCTGATGGTGACTAATTCTCATATTCTGAGTGCAATTTTTTTTTGTCAGACTAGTAAGAAATCAACAAGCAATTTGTTTTTGTTTTTGTTTTTTTTTTTTTAATCTTAGTAACCATTTTTATTTGAGAATATGAGAGAAATTTGCAGAAAATTGTTCATCTGTGAAAGTTTATCGTTATGGTATCCAGTATCATTTCAGTTCCTATGCCTCACTTTCCTTTTGTTCACTGGGCTCTGCATTCACTATGTCAGATCTCTCTTTCTTTGTAAATTCACTTTTACCTTTTTCCTGTTTCCTTGCCTTGTCATCCATATGGCTCCACACTTCAGTACTCTTAACACAGTTAATAATTTTTATCAACCTTTTATCATGCAGACATGCTACATAAGCAAAATGGGAAATTCTGTGCTTATTAAATAATAATCTAAAAAATACTTCAGGTACTCAAGCAGATTTTACAATGCAAGGAGATCTCAATGGAAATTGATAATAGCCCAGTTCCTTTTGTGAATTGTCAGTGGTATTTACTGTTACTTTGAAAATACTGTGCCAGACAGTGGAGGGAGTCTGGTTGAATTTGTAGAAGGTACTGAGGATCAGTCTGGGGAGGAAACTTCCTTTCTTCCTCATGCTCCAGATGTATGTTGGTGCCACTTCCTTCACAGAAAAATTCTCTAGTATCTCAGTTAACAACTGCACAGCTTCAGAAGAAGGATGTGTCTATTCATCTGTGAAGAAGTAGTTTAATATATTTAATTTCTTTAATTGTAGTTGGTTGAGGATGGGGAGGGTTGCCTTTTTTTTTTTTTTTTTTGGTAGTTTAATTTTTTACGACTCTTTGGACTCTGGAAATTTAGAATGGCAAAATAAAATTAGGTATACTTGGATTTTGCTCTTCTACATTTTAAGAGGGAAAAGGTTTTTGAAATGGGAAGAAGGAACATC